CTTGAAAAAAATCTATAAAAAAGGATATTGTACAAAAAATAGGTTCTCTGGTTGACTTATCTAAAAGATAAATTTAAGTTAGCTTTGGGAATTGCTTAAAATCTCTCCACAAGTCACCAAAATATACGCTTAGTTTCCTGATGAACAATTTGAGGCGTGGATTCCGAAGCACATTTGTGCTACTCTATTATAGAGCAGTGGCAAGCAAACGCTGCTGATTTGTATGCTATAGTGGCCCCAAAGTCTGATCAACTGTTGAACAGTGTAAATTGCGTCAAAGACCGAAATTTCCATAGGGCTTTCCCGAGCAATTAATAAGATCAGAGCACAATGGTTTGGATTGTCCCTGCATTGGCAAAACGCTGTTATGGCTATAGCATATGCTATCGAGGACGGTACTACGACAATAATGACGAAAATAACGCACGTTCAGTCGGTACTTGGACGAGATGTCAATCAGCAAGTGAGCGTGTGACGTAGCCGGGTTATCGAACCATGTTGGCAACTCCTACCGCGATAAGTACATCTCGATATAGCATGTTACTATGGAATACTAGCCTCCGGACGCTTGTATGACACCCGTCAGTACTACAGTCGTCTTTTATTTTTTCTGAAAGTTCGTCTTAAATGGTTCTATGTCTTTAGTAAAAGGCAACTTTCAAGCGGAGTATAAGTGCACACCAGTGTACTTATATACGCTTCGTAGAAGCAAGGCTTATGTGCAAAGAAACCGGCTAATGTAATAAAGTATTTTTCCTTGGAATCATTTTTTCTTGTATAAGATATTGGTAGACAGCCATTCATCCTCCTGTGAGCAGTTAACGAATGAGTATCTTTCTGTTCTAGATGTCCGTCCATCAACCATCGTCTGGCTCCCAATTAGCTTTGGCGCAGGAAATCTATAGCGTACTTCCTCTTGAATTTGGGCAATCTTTGGAGCGAAATTATGGGTCTGCTCTTGATTCCGCTAGAGTTTTCGTTATTTTTAGGACCGCCAATAGATCGGAAAAGATTGACATAGATGCTCTAATTAGAGATGCATTTGCTTTATGCAAGAATGCAACAAATCGTATAACGCTCCTATCAAAGGTATATAATTTTAAAGGGGGTAAGAATGTGATTGAATCTATAATGTCTTTGTAGTCTGCAATATGGTGTCTGCTGAAATTCACTACGAAGGTTTTTCATTCTCCGAAATTGACTAATGCGGCAAAATTTGTAGCATTTGAACACTTGCTCACTGGGCTGGAGCAACTCACATGGTACACACCGAAACATGACCTACTCACATTTCGTATTTGTAGCGTTGAGAACTTGGATGTGGCCCAGACCAATATTTGCTCTCAGACCCTTGTGATAGTTTTGAACTTGCTGGACGTAAACAGCAAATTAATCACCCGAGACTCTGGAAATAGATTGGCGAAAGTTCTTGAGCTTCTTTTTCGGGGTTTGCTTTTGCGTTCATTTCCAAATTTCCATTTTCCTAGGCAACATAACATTCAACTCCCTTTTGGCTAACGGCGTGTTACTAGCCCAGTGTATTCTGCGCTTCGATTCAGTGTGCACCAAGGATGTGGTAATTTAGTGGCTTTTCGTCATGTCTTCTTATGCTAGCTTTCTTCTTCTGTTTGTACGGACTTTGGCGTCCTAGCACAAAAGCTGATGAGGAGTGAGTTCGGCCAGTCATGTCGAATGGCTCTTCTCTATGGCCTTATTTCTGTCTCACCAGAGAATGAGTTCATCACAACTGCTGAACAACTGCTGAACACCGTCTTTGAATTCCCCAAGTAATTTCCATTTCAAGCCATGTTTAATGTTCTAACTGATAATACATATAGAATCCCAGATCCTCTTCAAGATCTCCTCATCGCGTTAAGTTGTCAGGCGTGGTGTAACAGACTCAGGTTTGTTATTGGCTCCATTTTAGGCGAATGATTTTAGAAAGTGTGCGCGTTCAGATGATATTGATTCGACCCTCTGGACCCGTGTAACAGTCGCTCCCGTATATGACTTCATATTTCTGCATCAAGCTGACCCGGTTGATGTAAGGTCCTTTCAAGGACTCAATTTTTATGTTATTATGTAGGCTGTCCGGAACTCTGTAATGAATACATTCGAGGGCCTACTCGGGTTCCACCTTGATACCTGTGAGGGTATGTCCGATATATTTTGAACAGGGCTTTTTACAGATTATTTTGCAGCAATCGATTATAAATTATTCATTATTTTTTCTCCGCAAATAATCCAACGGTATTTCTTTTTGAGAAAAACGAAGTCGGAAAATGTGTACACGTGTTAACAGTTCTAGACCCCCGAAACCAGTACCGGATGTAGGACTACACGTT